TAGACACAAAGAAGTTCTCGAGCGCCTGGATTTGCTGCAAGACAAATCCGAGCAGATGCCGAATAGCAGGTTTTGAGCAAATGGGCTTGTGTTGCCATCCATTTGGGTGCGTTGTCTTTTTGAGGGTGCCTTTTTACGGTACAAAGGGAAACCAACCATTCTTGAGGTTTCCCTATTTAGAGACGGGAAGTCCCCCTGGCAAGGTTGGGCCAAGGCCTTGGAACAGGGTTCTGCAATAGACAGTTGCTTGAGCCCCCTGGAAACAAACACCAGGTCGTGATAGATGTCAAGAGGAGAACGTAAATAACTTTCTGAAATTCTGAAATGGCAGTTTTCGTAGGGGCTACCCTTGTTGGGGGTTGGTTTGACGAGAACCAAAAAGGACGGCTATTCTCAGGCCACCTGACATCCAAATCCTCAAAATCCAAATCATGAACCCCTTCGTGTATCTTCGTGTCCCCTAGGGCCTTGGAGCCCTCCGTTTAAACCAAGAATTGCCAGTCAAAACTGGACATGGGTTTGTCGGACCGGCTTCGGTTTCCTTTGCACTTCCCTTTAAAACCATCTGAAATGGGGACCGTCAAAAACAAACGCGCCCAATCAAATCCGGGAATCCCCAGGTAAGGGACCTTCGTGGGTCGTACGGCCGGATGGGTGATCTAGGTCATTCACATGACAACAAATTTGAGGAGTCCCAGCGGCGAGGAATCCCACAAGAACTCCCCTCAAGATTGACATCGAACGGAGTCCAAAGCGCGATATTCGTTGGTCAGTGGCAACGTGCACATGTTCAAGAAACAAGTTGAAGGTCAATGATGCAACTAGTCAACCCAGAAAATCCCCAACCCAAACTTCACGTAAATCACGACGCCCCCTGCCTATATATATATACATGATGTTCCGTTTGGGACCCATTGGAACTGATAAATACAGCCCGTCCCTCTATAATCAGGGGTTGGCGAGAAAGAAAGCAATGCAGCCGCCTCATACACGCCGTACTCATCCTTGCCCGTGACCTCGATCTCGCCCTCGCCGTCCCCCTCACCTCCGTGGGCTAGACAGGCTTAAACAACCAAACGCGCACAACAAAAAACGAAAGCCCAAAGGAAGTTGTAGGAATAACTCGTGGTTTGAACAGATCTTAACATGTGATTGGCCAAACCCTAGCTGGATCACCGTGAAATATCCGCCAACCCCCCCCATATATGGGTGTTTGTCAAAATTAGGGCGCTTCCAGGTGGTTTGTGTTTCTTCCGCGTGTCCCTTTCAAGCCATCCAGAAGGGGGGGGTCCCTACCATCGTTTCCTGAAGGGTTCTGCAAACTATACTCATTGCTTAGGCATCCTGGAAAACAAATAAACAAATGCAGTATTGATACATTCCGTTCACTCTGAGATCCGGATCAATCGGAAGTTCATCATATTAGCCCGAAAACAGCATATTAACCCGCAAAGACTTGGTCCGAGACAAGCCTTTGCAGCCAGTCCCTCCTGTTTTTTTTCGGGCACTACACAGGCCGAGGGCATTCGAATCCGGCTTTGGCTTATCTCAAACAGAGCAAACAAGTATTTTGGTCTTTATTCAAGGAGTAAGCCATTTGTATATGTTACCGCCATATTTTGAGCCCTCCAACCCCTCCGTGTCCAAAGGATAGGTCTAGGTCCATCCACCAAGGAGCCTTCGAGCTCGCTTTAGCTCCCAACAAGATCGTTAAGTATAGTTGGCCCAGATCCCATGCTGATCACAGCTGCAACGCGCTCAAGTCTCAACGGGATAAGTGCGAACAACCGACAAGCTTGTGAAAGGGCATGCTGGCCAAAGGATGAGCCAACAGGGTCGACAGGAACAGTGTGAGTTGCGTTTTCCGAGCAAACACCACTCTAAAGTCAACCAAACCGAGTTCCAACAGCTTAAAGGTCAAATCAACCTTGCAAGGGGAAGAACCGGAGTTTCAGCACACAAAAACCGACGAGCGAAAGCAATGCAACAACGTTGAGACTTCCGACAGGGAAATCTAGGGGACCCTGTTGGTTGGTTGGTCTATGTAGTCCACCTCCTTTGAGCAACAGGGGATTCCTCGGCTGCAAACGCAGCGAACGACAAAATTCAGCGCCCGAGTCTTGGGGTTACTCGAAGTCGGGAGAAACTGGGCTGTCGAAATCTCGGGAAGCCGCGTGGGTTTAGCAAAATTTGCTTCAACAAAGGAACCGCAAAGGAAGTTGCTTCAACAAAGGTCTAAGCATGTTCAAACGAGAGCTTGGCCCAATCATGCCCCAACTCGAAGGCCTGTGAGCTCAATGAGGATGAAGGGCACCTTTGTGATCTCGTCAAGCTCATTCAGCTTCCTGCCCCGAGTTCCGAATCCAACTGGAAGCCTCAAACCAACCGATCCCAACCCGAACCTCTGCGACCGTTACCATCCCTTCTGTTTATTTAAAGGTTGCTTTCATGATAAGCTCTCATGTGTTTGCCAAGGCCAAGAAACATGGACAAAGGGATTGCTATAATATGTGCTATGTGTTGGCCCCACGTTGGGAAAAACAATGTGCCAAGTGCCACCTGTTTTCAAAGACAACTGCATATAACTTCTCATGTGGGCATGAAGTGATGTTTTCCTTTTGACTTCCCCTGACAACCAACCAAAACAAAACACATGAGCCACCCTTTTTTACACCTATGATCGAAGTCACTCACGGCTTGGAGGAAAACCAGCAACAAGGCGCATGGCCACAGATGCCATCAAATGGGTCGTGCTTTTTTTGGGGAGTTCTGGCTTTCTTTTCGGGCTTCCTTTAAGACACATGCCAAAAAAAAAAGGTACCTGTTGCGAAATATGGAGCAAATGGTGAAAACACTCATTGAACCAGGTTACTCAAAGAGGCCCGCAAATGGGCGATCCCACACCATTGGGAGCTTGCACGCAGGCAGCGAATCACATGGCCAGAGGGACAATGCCCCGGGTCCGGGACTCGATTCCGCTTATCTATTCAAATGGATTTCGAGGGTCACCCCCCTTCCCCAATTCCGTCGATGCGGACAACGCCTAACAGGGTCACACAAACAAAATGGATGGATGTGTACGGCCGGGATGAGCCTCCCCCACTGCTTCACTGCTCCCTCCGCCAGCGTCACAGGGAGCTCTGCAAGGGTTCAGGAGCGGGACCCAGCTCGGGCTACATAGCCCCTCACAGCCAGGCCAGCGCGCGCAGGCAAAATATGTTTTTTCCACCCAGGCAGCTGCCGCCATCCTAGTCATGCCCGCCACCCGCATCCACTGCGAAGAGCAAGTCCCCAAGCTCCCCGAGCGGACCGGCATAGGGGCAAGACAGCATGACGTCATCAGACAGCAGCAGCCGCCAGCCAGCTCTTCCCCGCGCAATCCCTTGCAGGGGTACCAAGACAGGGAAGCAAACCGCAAGCCGCCCCATCGCATCTGGCGGCGCGAAAGGGGGCCTCCTCCACCAGTGGCAAAAAGTCTGCCAGCCCCCTGCCAGCCGCTCCACGTCCAATTGTTGTACCCTCGGGGTGTTGGGGGAGGCGCCAGGAAAGTCAGCGCCCGCCCCCTGACAAAGGGACAGGGTCACACAAACAGAAAAGAGTGGCCAGTCCAGGTCCTGTGGAGTGGAAATCCACGCTCGGACCGATGCACGCAGGCCACGGGCATGCGTGGGGAAGGAGTGGGAGAGAACTGATTATTTTTTGCAGAAAAAACTCCGATGGCATTGATTCATGGGAATTCGTCATGTCCATCTCCGCATGCTTGGCCCAACAGCATGCAATGTGAAGAGTCTTCGCCATGTGTCGGTATGTGACAGGTTTTCACCACCACAAATGGGTGTGTGTCGAGGGCCCCAAAATGGTGTGGTCTTCCCTTGTACACCCATGTTCAAGTCCCCAGCTCTTCCAAGTCTTTGAGCTGCCCGTTAGAGGTAACCTCCGGGTTCAAGACATCTATATTATGTAGGGACCTTTGGGGAAGGGTATTTCCTCCCCCCCTCACGCTATGGCATTATTCAGAGTACCCCCCTTGCTCGCAACTTCGTTACTCTGTGGCACAATGCTGCAGGCCTCTTCCGTTTGAAGCTGGGACCATTCAAGTCATTGACACCTTCAAATCATCCCCAGGAGCAGTTAAAATGACATGCCTACCCCGGCCTCCCCCTCCAGAGATTGCGACATGTAGTAGAAACGCTCACTTCCGTGGACCCAGTGAAAGCCTGTGGCATCAGAATAGAGCTAAGAGAGTTGGGCCACTACCTTGTTAAAAGTGTAAAAGACCAGTTCTTCTATAACAACCTTTTGGGTTGTTGCGGTTGGTGTAAACAACCGTTGTCCAAACAATCCTACCAAGCGTTCTGCAGGCGCGACAGTGCCTCAAGCGCTTGTGCACCGTGTTGTGGAACGCATTGGTCACCGGCCTTGCCCTGAGGCGAGGCGGCTTCGTAACCCTCGGGCCTTGCCTTGTTTGCATGAAATATCTGGTGGTCAAACGGATAGAGCCGCCCCCCAAAGTCAAAACTTGCTGCAAGAAAGGAAACGATGTAGTACGGCAAATGATCGAACAAAGCAACAAAAAGGAACCAGGGTTGTTCAAAATGATATTTTGGGCGTTGTTTGGTGGCTTTAAGACGAAACCAAGAGGAAACCACCATTTTGAGGGTTGCCGTGAACAAACGACACACCCATCTTGGCGTTTTCGGTTCCTTGCGATCAGCCGGGGTGAGGACGGTTTGTGTAGGTTGATCTTGCCCGGTTGCAACCGGGGACCTCAACCCGTTTCGTGAAAACCCACCAAGCAAAAATGGAAAATTCGAGGGTGCCGCTGAACTGGGTTGGCGCAAGAGCCACCAACAAAAAAGCCATGTCAGATTCTGGCCCCTAGGTGAGCCTCAATCACATGTAAGTTGATGTCATTCATTGAGGTTTTGCCTTCATGCCGAAAAACGCAGTGGCTTCCTCAAATGAGCCCCTAATTGTTGCTTTGCCCTGGGCTGAGGTCGCGGAAACACTGGAGGGATCTGGAGGGGCTTCGGACCGCACCGGCCTTGAACCGTAGGGGCAATGCCATCAACACCAATCTCTGAATGCGATAGGGGCGGGAGAGCCGGCTCTCGGCTGCTTCCCTACAATGAAGCACGTTTCAAGGATTGAACTCCAGCTTGAGGAAGCTGACAAGTGTTCGAAGGTTGATCGCCCATTCTTTCCGCTTGCTCTTTTGAGACACTAGGTATTAAAGGACATGACCCGAAAAGGCAATTTCAAGAGCCATCGTCAAGACAGGGATCTCTACCCCGTAACCACGCCCAAATGCTTTGGACGGATTGCTTTTGGTCCACAGGTTTTGGCTTTCCTCGGTCTCCTTTGGTTCGCCTTCAAGCCCAACGTACAGCAAGACGTGGACAACAAGCCCAGTCTCAACACCCCTTCTCAAGCGAGCGCCTGTCTAGGCGTACTGGAGTAGTCGGATCCTGGCGAAAAGGCAGGAGTAGGCAGGAATGTGAGACAAACCGCCCGCTAAAGCACCAAATAACCAAGCCAATCGAACACCGAACCAAAACCAAACTTGGTAAAAACAACATTGCAACAAACAAACAATGCTCAGTTCAAGGAAGCAAAGAACCGGCAACACCAAATCAAAAAAGAGGGTTCGACCAACGCGACAACCAATAATGCTCACACACAGCAACAAAAGTAAATACCTCTTACTAAGCCAACCGAGTGGGTCTAGCTACCCCACGGCAGGTAACCAGGGGGCTCAACCCTGCAACAACCTGGTGAATATCCCCGTAATCTTCTTGTACTGGCAGGGTATGGCTGCATTGGTACCTAGATTCGGCCGCTAAACAACGAATGTCCCAACCAAAACCCTGCCTAGGCACCTGAATCGAGCGGACCCAACGAGTGGAGACCAAATGTTGCTGAGTTGCCCTGGTCGGACCCAGAAATAATAACTTAACCTTTTGGCCGCCACTAAATATGGACCAAATTAGGGAAAACAACAGTTAAAAGGTTGGCTTCGAGAAAGTGACGTTGGCGCGAGATTACCTCACTAACCCACAAGAGCTGAAAATATTGGAACGTTGACTTAAACAAATACCAAAATGGGGAAAGCATGCTGGTCAACAGTCGATTCGCTTTGGGCTAAGTGAGTTTCAGTGGCAGAAACCTGGCAATAAACAGGAAAGGGCAAGGGCAACCCTGTTGAAAACGAATGAACACATCATCTTGGTGACCGAAATCATTCCTGGAATCACCGGCAACGCACCATTCGGGACCTGGACACGATTTTTAAAAATACACCCCTCCTCTGTCCAAAGTGGACTGCCCCCTGACTACTTCATAACTTTAAAAAGGGCTTCCTTGGGCAGGCATAGGCAGTGAAGGATTCCTCAAAGCATACATCCCGCTTTACAAACAGATCCGTTTCTCGATCAGCTGCCATTTTGTGGTTGATTTAGTAGCCCCAACGGTTCCTTACAAACAACTGACTTGGCCAAGGACCGCCAAACAAACTGTACACTTGTTGGGTCACCACTAAACAAAAGGGGCAGCAGGACAAAAGGTGCAAAGTGTCACCTGGGTGAGAAAACACAACGTTCTCGAGCCTCCGCGTTGGACACAGAGGCGCAGCAGCCCATTGTCTGGCGCGCGCCTGCGCTTCTGTTTTGGGGCCTGAAACGGGTGCTTCTCGAAGGAGTGCCCCAAAATGGTTGGATTCCTGTTGCTTTCCCTCTAAATTCCAACCTAATGCGGGTCCACCACTTGAAACTCCCAAAGAACTACACGATGAACTCGTACTTGAGACAGGATAACCAATCGAATTTCCCAGATGCACTAGCATGAGTGTGCACAAAGCAGGAACTAAACAACAAGCATTAAACACATCCCTAAAGTATCTGCAAATTGTACGTCTTTTCAAAACCTGAAGTACGGGATTCCTAAAGGCTCGCATGCTTAAGTCTTGATTGTTAGGTCGCCTGCATGCGTGTTTCCAAGTGGAAAGTTATAAATGCCATGGCAGGGTTGTGCCATCTTTCTATTTCATTTTCACGGGGTGGGCTCGAAGGAGCAACTTTGTGGGGACCATGCAACTTCTTCACGAGTTGACACGCCTGTGGGTGGTAAACAGCCTAGCGCAGCGAACGCGGGAATCTACTGCCCACATCCCCCAGAGTTGCCATAACATCATCGCCACCATGTTTCGCGCCTGCTTCAGCGCTTCAGCCACGGGAGACAGATTGCTCGCGTTTTGCGTTTTGCTTCGTTCAACTTCGCCGCTTGAGCGACTTCGAGGCCTGTGGAATTGCTTAACGCTGGGAGTTGCTCAACTTTGGTTGCTTGCTTGAGCCCGTGGAAGGCGCTCAAGCAGCGGTGCACAGCCATCCAAACACAAGGCATTCACTGGATCCGAGAGGTTTGCCAAGAAAAGAGACTTGGGTTTGCCTCCTTTCTCTTCCGGAAACACAATGGTGCAGTCATTGACTTACCTCAGAACCCAACAGTTCAACCTTTTGGGATAGCAGCTGCCCACGTTGCTAGCATGGAAGTCCACACACGCGTCTTGGAGGACGATTTCCCTCTCGTTCCCTCTTGGAAACGAGCTTGTGCACCAAGCCGTGAAGGGAGGGGAGGACATGGTCAGCCCAACACAGCAAGCCCTCACGAGCATCTCATGGGGTCGAAGCCCCGAATACAGTCTAAGGCCATACACGGACCCTCACAAAATATCTTGGATGGTGGGCGCGGCTTTTGATTGGGGACCCTTTGGTGGATATCATTTGCACTGGGATTTAAGTCCATCAGCCACTTTTGAGGTGGTTACCGAGTCAACATTCACGACTTAAGGCTGCTATCAGAGAAACATTGCTTTCTTGCGCTCCTTCTGCAGTATATGCTTCGCTACTATGTACAAAGCCCAGAAAGACTCCAAGGCTCAAGGGCTCCAGAGTTGCACCCTGGAGGTCTTGCTCCCAAAATTGCTCCAGATGTACCACCCATTGCAGCCTTTTCTGTAAGACTAAGACTAGCGCCTCCAAAATGCCCACGCTCGAAGGATAAAAAGCTTGACGGGTACGCTCTGGAACCTTTGAACAGTTGCCATGCAGCCGTGGCTAGCGAGGACATGTCCGGCATGCATTTCCTGCCTGCCCCCTTGCCTACAGGGATGGCCAATTGATCACCGGGGGGCTGCAAGGTAAAAGCTAACCATGTGCTTTGTGTTTCCAAAAAGTGGATTCCAAGGGTCCCCACAGCTCCAGGAGGCTGAGTGCGGGCTGGCGACTCATCCGCTCTGCCCTGTCGCTTGCTGGTATTGGGCGAGCTTGATCTGCCGAAACTCTTTCTCGGCAGCAGCCCTCACGAGCTTGTCAGTGTGGAAGTCCACCTTGAACTGAAACAGTTTCGATGTTCTGCAAACCCTGCAAAGGCTTGTTTGAGGGTACTCTTTTTGGGGTGGGTTCAAAGGGAAGCCAAAAGGAAAGCCACACGTTTTGGAGGGCCCCCTATTTGGAGAAATGTTCTGCGAACTTCATCACCCATGAGGGACTCAATCAACATCGTCCAGAAGAAGCAACAAAAAGGACTCCAGCTGACCGGCTTACCCATCGCAGTGCAGAGTACATTGTTGGGAAAGAAGTTGTGGAGCCCGAGGAGAAAAATCCAGACCCCCTTGCAAACTGAAAGGAAGAGAGATCCTAGAGGAAAATGGGAACCTATGAAATGAGCGGCTTCTATTTAATCATTGTTCAACCACCCCCAAAAGGGGTTCCCCTCAAAAAAAGAACCACACATGTTACTCCCCCACACGTATATACATGGAACTAAGGAGTAAACCAAATGAGGATATTCCTCTAAAGCAATTGTGCAGCTGCCATGGGCATTTGGGAGGGCCCAGGAAGCGAAACTGCCCCAACGTTGGATAGTTACTCTGGGGAGTTGGTTTGAAACATTCTGGGTGTCTCCGCCAAAATAATTGTTCTTTTTAGGGTTGGTAGACAACGTGTGGGTGTACCCCAGGCTCCATGGTTGGTTGAGCCCGTGCTACAAGTTGCATTTGTTGGATTGATTAAACTCGGAAATCTCTCTACAAGCAAGTCTAGGAAACATCCATGCACAGAAGTTCCCAGGACATATCTCTTGTAGTGAAACCGTTCCCCTTTAAAACCAACTTGCACTTGTTACCCTCTGGCAAAAACAGCAGAAGCACTGGGACCAGTTGAAAGGATGACCTCTTGGGGCCATGACTAAAATGTGACCAAACAGGCGCCATTCAAAGGTCGACATGTTGGCATTGGGCAGGTACGAGTGGGGACAGCCACAAGTTGGGCCCATTCTGCCGCCGAGGGGCTGCCAGTTTGGCCCGCTGCTCTTGGCTCGCGGGTGCGCAGTTCCGGCGATGGAAGGTCCAGTCTGCCTTCTGACAGTCGCGGGAGCCTCGATCCCGACGAAACCGGCGCAGGGAATTTGCGGGGCCCAAAAAGTGAAGCCTCAAATGGGCGTCTCTTTATCTAGGAGACTCCCCAAATTGGCGGTTTTACTTTCAGCTTTCCTTTAAAACCACTAAACGGGGTATCTCAAAAAAACACAAATTGTACCAATAACGAATCCACTGGGTGACACAAAAAGAATACGTACCACCTCTGGGCCAACCTAGCGATGAATATCAGGATGCTACCCAAACTCCATTTTATTGCATCAACAAAACAGTGATTTGCTCATCCGGTAAATTTTCACACAGCGCTGAGACGCTACTGCCCCAGAAGTTTGCCAACTGACCAGTGAACGCAAAAAGTAGATTTGCTTTGCAAATGAGTGCCGGATCAAGGGGAAAAAAACATTCACCAAGGGCGAAAGTACGCCCACAAATTCAACCGTCCTCGGAGTATCACAAAATATCAAAATCATCATCATTCAGGGTCTGTAAGCAAACCTCGGCGCCCAAAACGGAAAAGACACATGATTGAAAGTCCGCGTTGGACTGCTGAGCACATGGGTGGTCCATTCCAAATTGTCTTTGGTGGGGACTAACCAAAGCATGCCTGATAACTGAGTGGACCAACCGGAAGCACTGCGTGCTGTGGCAGTGGTAGGCGTGCTAATCATGAAAAGCGACGTCAAAGAGAACCCTCCCCCCGCAGACATCGATCCGCCAAAGCCTCCATCCAACGCGTCGAACACAGGCCTCGCTATACTCCCCCCTTCCCCATCGCTGCAAGAAGAAACTCACCCAAAAGTGGCAACCCAACAGAGATGTCTAAACGGGCTGAAAAAAGGGAACACTGGAGCACGTGAGTCTCAAACCCCTGGAACAAATGCCAGGGGTTAAAAGGCCGCCGCGCAGCAGTAGATGGCTCCGACGCAACGAGAGCAACGCCTTTGCTCCTTGAGCTCGATGAGCTTGGCACAATTCTGGCACCTCAGTCAGAATTATTGCTGGCGGCGACCTTTGTGACATACAGGAATGGTTTGCCATTTGCCCTCTACAAGAACCAGGGGTTCAAAACCCCAAGCCAATCCAAACCACCGGCTAAGGGTTACCTGACTGGGTGTCTGCACCGATCGTTCTGACAAAGAAAAACGCTGGGCAAGAGCGGCGACTGACAAACCCTCCATGGCCCAGAAAAGGCCAGGGTGCCACCACCAAAAACATAAAATGGGCTTGCCTCAAAGTAGGGGGTATCAATTCCAAATGGCTGCTCTCCTTTTGTTTTCCCTTCAAGCCGGCCGCGAATTCAGGCACCCTCCAAAATACAACATCGTAACCTTAAAATCTGAAATCGGATCTGCATTGCCTCCACAACGAGCCCCGTGTCGGGGCCCCCTGTTTCTGTTGGATCGAAGCAGTGGAGATCATATTTCCAGCCCACACACTTTGCCATTTAAGGGAACGCCCTTTCTTCAGACCCAAGCGGATGGAAAGGGTGGCTTGTGAACAGGCTAAACACAGCCTTCTGATACTGCCCCATGATGTCCTGGGGTGGGGGTATAAAGCACCACCCGAATCACTCCAAGTTATTTAGGATGAAACAGGACCATCAAACCTTTCACCGCAAATCTCTCGAAATCTCCGTCCTCAGTTGCCGAAAGGACCCAAAAATAAAGGGTTAACCTTTTGGGGCCATGACGAAAAACTGACCAAATCAGGCAAACCAAAAGGTTAAAAGATCGGATTTTGGGCAAGTGGGCCTCCCAAGACGCACTGCGGCCCAGTCGCGAAACCGGCGGCTTCTCTTCCTTTGGGACCTGCCAACGCCAAAGAACTCAGCCAGAAACATGGCGCGAAGAAGCTGGGGCCATACCCGAGAAGACGAAATGTGGTGTCCTGTTGGGTTTCACTTTAAACCCAACCAAAAAGACAGACCCATACTGCAATTCCTTGACAAACTTCCACTGAGCAAAATTATGCAAAACAGAAAGCCAGCCATTTATATAACTGGTTGATTGTAGTGAACACGTCTAACAGGGCCTTATTTCTAAGGCAGAAGGGATCTGGCAGAATGCCTTTGGGCCCGTGTTTGTGGGATGAAAGATGACTGGCCAAACAAAGTTCGGCCTGTACTTAATTGATGGAGGAATCTACCCACTTCTTGCCAGGTGCGTATTGATCCTGGGTTGCTCATGTCCCAATCAGGGGGTGGGTCAATTCTAGCGGCGCCCAAAGCTCGCGAGCCAGCGTACATCTTGAACACCTACGTGCGCATTTGGACGATCGTCTAAGGTTTTTGTCCGGGCCATGGTCCTGGTCCATGATAAGTAGAAATCCGAAGCATTCGTGCTCGAATGTCGGACTTGACATCCGATGGCAAACAACTCAGGTAAGCGTCGTCCATGGACCCTGATATCCTTCTTTCCGGACTTGCCACAGAAAACCAGGGACTTGGAACTTTCTAGGCCAGTGCCCGTTAATTCGGCACGAGGGTTGCAAGAAGTCGCATCTGCATCCAGACGAGCGTTTTGAGGGGCCTGGGGCCAACCTCCGTTCTAAACCTGTTTGAACGCCAGGAGTTACACTGCTTCGCTGCCTCCTCGAGAGTTGAAGAATCATAAACCGGTTTGCTTTCCTTTTCTCCTTCCATGAGCGGCTCCCATGGTGTGACTGTGGCTCCGTCTTTCGAAGCGGCCTGGATGTCTTCCTCCTTGAGCTGCGGGAAAGCAGAGGCCTCTTCCTCGTCGCTCTCCTCCGCCAAGGCCGCCTCAAAGCCTTGGGGAAGGCCGAATTCGCAGCGTGAGCAGGATCCTCAACATCACCAGAGCGGGTCCCTCATTTCCAT